TGGAGCGGTTTTGAAAGCCCAGCTGCTCTGTGGATCCTTCCTAAGCTGTGCAGAGCTGGGTCAGTGTTTCATGAAGTGAGGGGGCACTTCCATTGGAGGTCTGGTGATTCATTAGGTAATTGCAGGGGGCATAGGGATGAGCATTCAAAATGATGTTAAGTTGAATATTTTGATGAGCATCAAACATATGATTTCATGAGATTTTTGCTAGCACAAGGTGTGGTAAAAGTCATGAAGGTGGCTTTATTAATGTCCCACGGCTGCTTTAACAAATCACTGCAAACTCTGTGGCTCACAAGGACGTACATTCATTCTCTCATGGTTGTGAAGGCCAGAAGTCTGAAATCAGTTTCACTGGCCTGGCCCTGCAGCCTCCAAAGGCTGGAGGGGACAATCTGTTCCCAGCCTCTTCCGGCCTCTCTGGTAGCTGTGGCTATTCCCCTGGCTTGTGGTCACATCACTCCAATCTCTGCCTCACTGCTCACGTGCTTTTTCCTCGTCTGTGTGTAGTAAAATCTCCCTCTACCTTCCTTTTATAAGGATGCATGTGATGGCATTCAGGGCCCACCTGGATAATCCAGGATAATCTCCCCATCTCAAGATCTTGGATAATCACATCTACAAAGTTTTTTTCTTTTTCTTTTTTTCTTTTTTTTTTCTTTTTTAAACCAAACAAAGGTATTCATAAGCAGCAGGGATTAGGATGTAGATATCTTTTGGAGGGCAAAGGGGTGTTATTCAGCCTGTCCCAGTGGCATAGGAAATTTGGAACAGAGCCAGTTAAGAAATAAAACTTTGTGTACAGCACTGGGAACTACATTCAGTTTCTTGTAATAACATATAATGGAAAAGAATCTGAAAAGAAAAAATATATATAGGTGTGTATATGTGCAATTGAATCACTTTGCTGTACACCTGAAGTAAACATTGTAAATCAACTATATGTCAATAAAAAAATTTTTTTTAATTAAAAAAGAAAGAAGACTGTACCTTGTACACCCACCCAAGGGTCTCCACCTGCCGTTGTGGAATCTGCTCCCATCTGACTGTCGCCAAAGACCCTGGAGGAGTAGGATGTCGGGGGAAGGACACTCATCTCCAGGCTCCTGTGGCCTGTGGAGGGGAAATACTTGTGGGAGCGACCCTGGACCCATTCATTCTCCGTAACCTGAGATTCTTGGACACTGGTGACAGCCACCTTGGACAACATGAATTTTAAATTGTCCAGATTCCAGTGAGGGCTGTTTTGCTCCATACAGATCACTACCTTGGGGCTCCCCCTCGGATTTGCACTGTGTTTATTTAAATTACTTTTGAAATGTTAATCACTGAATGTTAATAAACACAGTAATTACTCTTGATTTTCCTTATGGGTTCCATTTATTAATGGGAACTGAGATAATTCATGATCTCAGAAGGAAGCATGAGCTCTTTAAGTAGGCTAATGCGCTTTTCTTATGAAATTAACGAAGACATTTTCTTATTGCATAATCAGTAAATTAGAAACGGGATTATGCCATTTCGCGGAAAGGTGCCGGAACAACTCGCTGGATCTGATTAGCGCATTGACAGAGAGGGCTGTCTCTTGGGCGCCTTTCTGGAAGGAGGGTTTAGCAACTGACCTCATGTAATTCGGCAAGTTGAGTTAAAGTGTGCAAGTGAGGCCAGTGGGAGAGACTGACTGGATCTCCACCAACTTTGATCCGATCTGGCCTGCTCCCCACCCCCACGCCCACCGCCTGCCCTCCGCGCATCTGCATCCGCGGAGCCTGTGATCGCTCTGTCCAGTGGCACCAGCAAGTGATGTCTCCTTTGGCTGAGCAGACAAGAGCAGACCAAAGGAGCCAGAGAGCTCCGGGGGAGAGGCCTGACGGTCTGCAGCTGGCGGGAAGAAGGAGCCAGACCAGCGTCAGCTCTTTCTCAAAGACTGAGAACCTTGGCAGGGAAGCGTGCTCAAAAACCCCCTTCCCAAAGGTGAGGCCTGATGACCTTTCTTTGACTCTGCTCTTCTTGGGGCTCACCAGCATGGGAGATGCTGGCTCTGGACCCACAACGACCGACCCCTACCATTGTCAGGCTCAGCTCCTGCCTCCCCTGATCTTGATTCAAATCCCAGTGTTGGATTTTTTTCCTCAATGGGGTCCTTTTAAATAAAGGATGTGTTGTTCAGGAAGATAGGAGGGCTTCATGCCTGTGCTGTAGTCTTTGGTCAAACACAGAGCAGACTTCCCCATGGAAAGAGCATGACGTCGTCCCGAGGCTGGGGTCCTGGGTCATAGGGAGACAAAGCTCTCATTAGAGCTAGTCAGAAAGACATGGGGGGCGGGGAGGTGGACATCCTGCTGGATTTATTCACAGGACCTATCACTAGTGACCAACAGCTAGAAGCAATAAAAATAGGTCTCAAATTTTTTTTTCAAAAAAAAGAAGCTTAAATGAACATTCTGTACCTTTCCATATGATAAACGGGGATTGACCTTACTATAAATTATGCATCAGCACATAGAATTTGCCTCAAGTTTTTGGATAAATACTCCCTAAACTGACCATGTTTCTAACAAACAATATTTAAATAAAATAATTTATTTTCTGTCTTAGAATATTAAAAATAAAATAAAAAGAGTCCCATGTCAGGGGGGCAATGGACTCAGTGACTTTAAAGGTCCCTGCAGTCCTGCCAGTCTGATTCTTTTATGACTCGCTCATGCCTTCCTCCTGGGCAGAGCGGTGGGGTGGACAGAACGTGGGCTCTGGCATCAGACAGATGGCCCAGGGTTTGTATCAAATCCCACTGCTCACAACTGTGCAGCCTTGGGTTTATCACTTCTCTGGTCACTTGCTCTTGTCTACAAAAATGGAGATACCATGTTCCTCGACAAGTTGTTGGAAATTATGAGACAGAAGGGCACTGGGCCAGTAACCAAGCCCAGGCCTTCTTGACAAGTGGCATGTGCCCTGCCCCTGCCTGGCTTTGTAGGTAGACAATGCCTTGGTGCATCTGGGCACCTAGGGTTTCAGAGGCAGGAATTCAGATGGAGGAGCCAGAAAAATTCCAATAGAGGGAGAGCCTAAGAGAAATCCCAAGAGCAGACTTAACAGACCTGGCCATGTGGACCCAGAGCCTTTGACCACTTTGCTTTTCACACAAGATGCACCTCCCTCTGGGGACCTCCCACCAATGTTTTCTGGTTTTGGTTGCATCAACAGTTTCCTCCCTTGGGTGGAGAATGGCCAGGTGTGACCTGAGGGGAGGAATTGGGGCGCTCCCCCTAGTGGCCATCACCAAGCATGTCAACAAGGGGCCTCCTGCCCACAACTCCACCCCATCTTCTCAGGGCCTTGTCCTTTTCTGAGTCTGCTTTCCAAATCTGGCCGCTGCCTCTCTACACAGGGCCAGTGACCATAGGTTGGAAATCCGTGGCTCTCATTTACATGTTCAGCACAATATTGTTGAAAAATATTATTACATGGTAGTACTTAAATATCCAATTTGACATAAAAATCCCAATGTGTAATTTCTCTTGAAAAATCAGAAACTCTGGCCACACGGACTTTGGGCTTCTGCCTGGTAACAAGTGGTCAGAGCAGTGTGCAAAACAAGCAAAAATTCCTGCCCTCGAGCAGATTATGGTCTGGTGGGGAAGGGCAGAGAGAAATAGCCCTTAATAAAACCAATTGTGATGCATGTGGGGGAGGTGAGACCCTGCGGGCTTATAGGCCATTTAAAGGACAAAGGTTTTTCTCCAGTAGACAGGGGGCCATGGGAGGGTTCTGAGGAGGCTTCTGTCATGGGACACGATCGTTTTTACTTTAGGTTAGGTAGTTCTGGTTGCTGTGTAGACTGGGGCGCAGGGGCAGAAGCAGGAGGTTCCTTCAGGAGGTTGCTGTCGTCCTCAGGTGGGAGGTGACTAGGATGCTGTCAGGTGGGAGGTGGGTTACCCTCCTCCAAGTCTTCACAGGTGGCCCATGTTTCTATATCCCAGGGGGGGTCATTCACCAAGACCCAGAGAATACCAGCTCTGTACCTGCACCATTTAGAAGACACCAGCAAAGGCCAGCCCCCCGTGTGACTCACAGAACACTTAGCAATTTTGTTAAAGTGGCTCCCTCAGTTCTCTGGGATCTTCTACACACTACTCTCCTTCCTTAGAGGATTTCTCCACTCCCCCTGGTTAGCCCTGTTTTCAGCTTAGACATCGCTTTCTCCAGAGAGCCTTCCTTTACTTGAGGCCTTTGCTGGGGGTTGTTGTGTGGTGTGTGCCTCTCCCAGTCCAAAGGGGCTCCAATCCCACCTTACACAGGACTGGGACTAGGGGACAAATTCTGAGGTGTTACTCTCAGGGCCATGCAAGGGTAGGGGTGGCTTGGGGGAGCCTCCTTACCCCAGCCCAGCCCTGGTTGTGGTCCCCCATATGGGAACCCCAGGTGAGGGGCCCTCTGCCTGGCCCTTCATGGCCCCAAATCCCTTGTCCGTAGGGTTTCCCTGCCAGGGTGTTCCAATGAGATTGTGGCAGGAAATGGTTGTGTTCCAGGTCTCAGCTAAGTACCTGGGACACTGCTTGCTAAGTGAGGGTCCTTGGCTTCCCACAGGAAAGAATTCAAGAGCGAGCGGTAGTAAAGTGAAAGCAAGTTTATTTAGTGAGATGCACGTTCTATAGGCAGAAATAGGGACAGTCTCAGAAGGGAAAGCGGCCCCGATGCAGGGGGTGGTTAGTTTTTATGGGCTGGGTAATTTCATATGCTAATAAGTGGGAGGGGTATTCTATTTCAGGAAAGTAGGCGGGGAGTTCCAGGAATTGGCCCCGCCCACTTCCTGTCCTTCTACGTCAGTCTGGGAAGCGTAGTGGCGCCTGGAGGGGTGTCACTTAGCGGCTGGCGTAGTAAAATGAGCGTAGGAGGCTCAAGATGTACCGGAAGTCCAGTCTTCCGCCATCTTGGTTCCAGGAGGTTCTAATCACTTTCTGCTGTATTCTCAACAGCTGCAGCATTTCTTTTCCAAGGCTGTGCCCTGCCCCTTCCCTCCTGTCTCCGGAGGCACCGGTGTGGTGTTTGGAAGAGAGAAGAGCAGCAGAAGCCACGGCTCTCCGGCGCCCTCGCCTCGCCCCGCTGACGCCCCTCACTCCTGAGTCACCTTCCGGACCTCGCCCCGCTGGGGGCAGCCGGCTGCTGAGAATGTAGGTGAGACCATCCCGGGTGTTCCCCTCGCCCGGTCATTTCCCGCCCCACGCTTCTCTTTCCCTCCAGTGAACCGCTTCTTCCCTTAACTACCTGAGTGGCTTCCACTTTACAGGCTGAACCATCACCGACATAACCCCCGCCGTCCCCCGTGAGGGGGTGGCTAAAATTGTCCCCAGCCGCCTGAACAATCACCAGCTGCCGCCGGTAAGCTCCGCCCACCTGGGCCCAGGCCTCCCGCCTTCCTTTAGTGCCTCCACCTGGCACACGGCTCTGCCTCTGCCTCCCAAGCAGAGTCCTCAGGAAGCCTTCTCTGGCCATGCTCACCCCTGAATGCAATTCACTCTCTGCCCCATTAAATACTCAACTTCTAAGTCCATAGTTTTTTCCGCCCTCACAACTTATCCGAATGTATTTCTTGATTATTCATTGACCATCAGCCTCTCTCAGTAGGGTTTATAGGGGCAGGCAGCCTTCAGCACTGTGGTATCTTGTTGGGAAATGAATGAGTAGCAGACACATAATAAGTAAATAAATGATTTGTTGCACTGAATTGCATCAAGCAGTCACCATCCATTGAGTACTTAGGGTAAAATCAGCCTAGTGACAGGCCCTGTGGGAGAGGTAAACAATAAATAATCTATAAAGAGAAATGAAGGGCTAGGTGGTGTTTATTTTTATTGAAGTATAGTTGATTTACAATGTGTTAGTTTCTGGTGTACAGCATAGTGATTCAGTTATATATATATTCTTTTTCATATTTTTTGTTATAGGTTATTACAAAGTATTGAATATAGTTCCTTGTGCTATACAGGAGGACCTTGTTGTTTATCTGTTTTGTATATAGTAGTTCATATCTGCTAATCTTAAACTAATTTATCCTTCCCCTCCTTTTGATAACCATAAGTTTGTTTTCTGAGTCTTTGTTTTGTAAATAAGTTCATTTGTATTATTTTAAAATTTTTATTTATTTTTAATTTTTTAAAGATTATAGTCGATTTACAATGTTGTGTTTCCGGTATACACCATAGTGATTCAGTTATAGATATATATTTTCATATTCTTTTTTGTTATATGTTATTAAAAGATAATTGGATATAGTTCCCTGTGCTATACAGTAAGATCTTGTTACTTATCTATTTTATATATATCGTTTATCTCTTTATTATATGTAGTAAATAAATATAAATATATATAGTATATAAACATATGGTGTGTGTATATATATATATAGGAAATATATATACATATATAGTTAGTATCTGCAAATCCAAAACTCCCAATTTATCCCTCCCCTCCCATTCCCCCACCTGTAACCGTAAGTTTATTTTCTGTGTCTGTGAGTCTGTTTCGTTTTGTAAGTAGGTTCATTTGTGTCACTTTTTTAGATTCCACGTATAAGTGATATGATACGGCATTTGTCTTTTTCTGGCTTACTTCACTTAGTACAGCAATCTCTAGGTCCATCCATGTTGCTGCAAATGACATCATTTCATTCTTTTTATGGCTGACTAGTATTCCATTGTGTGTATGTTTATATATATTTGCACATTCTTTATCCAGTCATCTGTCAATGGACATTTAGATTGTTTCCATGTCTTTGCTATTGTAAATAGTGCTGCTATGAACACTGGGGTGCATGTATCTTTTTGAATTAGAATTTCCTCTGGATATATGCCCAGGAGTGGGATTGCTGGATCATATGGTAGGTCTGTTTTTAGTTTTTCAAGGAATCTCCATGCTGTTTTCTATAACGGCTGCACCAAACTATATTCAAACCGGTAGTGTAAGAAGGTTTCCTTTTCTCCACACCCTCTCCAGCGTTTATTGTTTGTGGACTTTTTACTGACAGCCATTCTGACCAGTGTGAGGTGATACCCCATTGTGGTTTTGATTTACATTTCTCCAATAATTAGTGATATTGAGCATCTTTTCATGTGCTTGTTATTCATCTGTATGTCTTTGGAGAATTGTCTATTTAGGTCTTCTGCCCATTTTTTTTTTATTTTGTTGTTGTTGTTGTTGTTGTTGTTGTTGTTGAGTTGAATGAGCTATTTGTATGTTCTGGAAATCAAGCCCTTATTTGCAAATATTTTCTCTCAGTCCGTAGGTTGTCTTTTTGTTTTGTTTATCGTTTCCTTTGCTGTGCAAAAGCTTACAAGTTTGATGAGGTCCCATTTGTTTATTTTTGCCTTTGTTTCTGTTGTCTTGGGAGACTGACCTAAGAAAACATTGCTACAGTTTATGTCAGAGAATGTTTTGCCTATGTCTCTTCTAAGTTTATGGAATCCTGTGTTATGTTTAAGTCTTTAAGCCATTTTGAAGGTTTTTGTGTGTGTGTGTGTATGGTGTGAAGGTGTCTTCTAACTTCATTGATTTACATGCTCCTGCCCAACTTTCCCAACACCACTCGCTGAAGAGACTGTCTTTCTTCTATTGTATATTCTTGCCTCCTTTGTTGAAGATTAATTGACCGTGGGTGTGTGGGTTTATTTCTTGGCTCTCTACTCTGTTCCATTGAGCCATATGTCTGTTTTTGTGTCAGTACCATGCTGTTTTGATTACTGTAGCTCTGTAGTATTATCTGAAGCCTGGGAGGGTTATGCCTTCAGCTTTGTTCTTTTTCCTACGTATTGCTTTGGCAATTCTGGATCTTTTGTGATTCCATGTAAATTTTAGGATTATTTGTTCTAGTTCTGTGAAAAATGTCCTGGGTAATTTGTTAGGGATTGCATTAAATTTGTAGATTGCTTTGGATAGTATGGCTATTTTGTTTTATTTTATTTTATTTTTTTCGGTGAGAGTGGGGAGGTAATTAGTTTTTATTTTTAGAAGAGATACTGGGAACTGAACCCAGGACCTCATGCATGCTAAGCATGTGCTCTGCCACTTGAGCTATATCCTCCCTAGTATGGCCTTTTTAACAATATTAATTCTTCCAATCCAAGAGTGTGGACTCTCTTTCCATTTCTTTAAATTATTTTTAATTTCTTTTACCCATGTTTTATAATTCTCAGTGTGTAAGTCTTTCACTTCCTTGGTCATATTTATTCTTAAGTATTTTGTTTTGTTTTTTTTAATGTGGATTTTAAAGTTTTTTTTTTTACTTTTCTGATATTTTATTGTTAGTGTAAAGAAATGCAACAGATTTCTGTATATTAATCTTGTATCCTGCTGCCTTGCTGAATTCATTTAACAGCTCTAGTAGTTTTTGTGTAGAGTCTTTAGGGTTTTCTATATATAGTATCAAGTTATCTGCATGCAGTGAGTTTTACCTCTTCCCTTCCAATTTGGACCCCTTCTATTTTATTTTCCTTGTCTGATTGCTGTGGCTTGGATTTCCAGTACTATGTTGAATAGAAGTAATGAGAGTGAGCATCCTTGTCTTGTTCCACATTTTAGCAAGGGATTGGCATTATGAAGGCATTGTTCCACTATGGCCATCAAAAAATGTCTCCCACCCATCAACTCTTGTTGCAGTGTAACCTTGACACTCCCTCCATCAAAAAGTGGGTCTGTGCCCCCTTCTCTTGAAATTAGGTGGGCTTTTGTACCTGTTATGACCAATAGAGGACGGCAGAAAAGTCGTAACAAATGACACAGCTGCCACCTGTATGGAAAACTCACTTCTGAAGTTTTCAGCTATAAGCAGTGCAGCTCCCCTGAGGCCACCATACTTCTAGGAAGGCCAAAGTCCCATAGATGGGAGGCCCTGAGACCACTTGAAGAAAGATGCCCAGCCAGCCCCCAGCTCTCCAGCCACTGTCTGATTGCAATTGCATGAGACCGAGGCCAGAACCATCCAGGTAAGAACTTCCTGAATTCCTGACTCGGAGAAATGACTAGTTTTATTTTAATCCATTGAATATTGGAGTGATTTGTTACACAGCAAAAGATCACTAGAAAAGCTCTTGACTTCAAGGAATTCAAAATCAAATTGGAAAGCCAAGAAGTGAGTGAACTTAGCCAGGTTTATTAGACAGTGCCAGCAGTCTCTGGGTGACAAAGAGCCAAGCTGTAAAGTCCTATCTATGTAAATATAGTAAGTACACCCAACCATGCACCCACCTTTTCTTTCCCTCCATTCCTGTATCCAGCCCCTTCCTTTTCTCCTGATCTTGACTGACCTTCCAAATCTTTGGTTCCCATCATAAATCTGCAATTCCCTGCAGGGCTGACTTTCTCAGACTCTCAACTTGTTGGAGCTCTAAATTAATGAGCTACCTGGTCTCACCAACTTCACTTTGGATATACTGCCGAGAGTGGAGTCAAGGATGTTTAGACCACAAATCCCTAGTTCTGGCTCCTGGTTCTTGGCAACAGTCATCACATAAATTTTCCAACAAGAGACACATCCGCATGATTAGACCAACGATATCGCAGACTCAGACACATGCAAAGAGGGCAGGGCTGAGAGAAGGGTACTATTCATCAAAACCTCATCATAAATTCAAGTTGAAGGATTGAAAAGAAACAAAACATGGACACTTCCCAAACTCGGCAGCTGGACGTCTCACTGAAATTCTGAAATCACTGCTGCTCAACTCAACATCTGGGAGAGAATAAAAAATAATAAAGATTTAAAAAGAACAGACGCTTGGCAATTAGCAATTGAAGTGCGGATCAGGAATATAAATTCTCCAAGGGCCTAAAGACAGAAATATTCATTGGCACATGGGTCTTAGGACTGTGAATTTCATCTAGCTGTCACCACCGTTCTTTTTTATTATGGCTAATATTTAGTTAGCAAATGTACTTTCTAAGCAATGAACATAATTATGTTCAGGTTGGCATGACCTGAGTTAGGATGACCAAGTTTTTACTTATTCAGCATTGACAGTGTAATACTACGTCCAAAAGATTTTAGTGCAGACCAATAGCACCAAAGAACGTTGGGAAGAACATCGTATTTACATTTGAGAGACTTGGGTTTAAGTTCTGACTCTTCCATTTATTAATTGTGTAAATTTGGCATTATTTAACCTGAACTTGTGAAGAAATCT